TTCTCCTCTCTATTTCTCAAAAATTGTACTAGTTAAAAAAAAAAAAGGAAGTAAATTTTTTTTATAAAATTTTTAATTTTATTATATATTATTGATTTTTAATTAAACTAATAAAGTTAAAGTAGCGATATAAATAATTTTTTATATAATTTTTACATATTATTAAATAAATATATATTCAATATTATAAATTTTAAATAAAAATAATCATGTAAATAACATATAAAAATTAAGTTAAATTCTTATTTTGATCCTACTACTCTAACAAACTTCTTTTTAGTGCCTTTAGTTAAGTAACCCTTTTTTTATTTCTTAAAATTTAAAATTTGGCTTCATTTTTCAGTCCCTCTGCTATTTTTTATATATATAACATGTTAAATAATAAAAAGTTTAGAGTGGAGGAATAAAAAAAGAACATTTTTAAATTTTAATCCTTTTTTAATCCCTTTATTTAAAGAACTCCCTTTTTAGTTTCTCTGCATAAAAAAAAAAAACAAATGTTTTAGTCTTTCTATTTTAAGATTTTCAATAACATAACGTGTCAAGCAAGAAAAAAATAATGGAAGAAGTAAAAAGGAGTTGTATTTTAAATTTTAAAGATAAAAAATGAACTATTTTCAAAAGAGAAACTAAAAAGAGATTTAAAAAAAAAAAAAAAAGCTTTAACCTATAAAATTATCTCAAAAAATAACAAAAAAAAAATTTGCAAATTATCCTTTAATAATTTAACTTTAAAATATGTATAAGTTTATCTAAAAAAAAAAAAAAAAAGAAAAAGAAAAAATCACCATCACTCAATTCTAATACATTGCAGCCATATATATCTTGGGGGTTGGATGGAAAATGATTGGATTATAAGATACAAAGAACTAGTTTCGTCACAACTCACAAGGTTTTTCTGCAAAGTTTGAGGCCACACGCTCTCTGCTCGAGTGAGGTTTTCAGTCGGTGATAGTGATATTAGCAAATAGATCAGGTGTGGGCCGGGCTACAACAGTTGGATTCAGAGCCCTTGTGATTCTTGTGTCTTTATTATTTTTACTACTCAAAATAGAATATAAAAAAATTATTTAAATAAAATTAAAATTACACATATTTCCACAAAAAAACCATCCTAGATTGTTTTCTTCCTTAAAAATATTCAAGAAGGGATATGTTTGTTTTATGAATAAGAGAGGAAATTTAAAATAGGAAAAACTAAAAAAAATGGAGTTTGATGGATTGTCTCGTACAACAATTTAAATATAGTAGTTAGCGGTTTTATTTAATTTAATAATTAAGAATGTTTAAATTACTAATAATAATTATTTTTTAATCTTTAGATCAAATGAAATTTTTAATCATTGGTTTCAAATCTTTATACTAAATAGCCTTTTATCTTTGCACTCCCTCTTATGGTTCAAGTGGTTACGTTTTTCTGTGTGAGAAGTAAGGTGGAGCACAATATATTATCATCAAGTCGACTCCTCGATCAATACTCGAACAAATATTAACTTATTAATTATGTCTCCTACAGTAAAAAGAAAAAAAACATTTTATCTTTAAGTACAAATATGGATAAATTATTAATTTTTTGTTTATTTTTAATAAATTTAAATAAAAAAATTAATTATATAATTATATATTATATTATAAATTCATAGTAATAATAATAATAATATTATTTTTTGAACAAGTTGTCAAGTAGGCTCAAAACTCATCCGTAAGAGAGTAAAAATGTACTTCAAACTGGTAGGGTGTCAGTTAACTTGAAGGGTGAGATGCAATTCATAATATTATATAAAATTATAATTATAATATTTTTAAATAAAAATAATTAAATGCACCTCAAATCTTATAATTCAATGACTCCACACTTATTGTAAAATGCATGCTCTAAATTGAGGTGGTCCTACCTCAATTGGAAATCGTTCAAAAAAAGAAAAATAATTAGATACCACATATTTTAATATTAAGAGTTTGACTCTTATTTAAAGTTTTTATTACGTAATCTAATATAATATAATATAAATTTTAATGCAGGACAGTTTTACGAGAAATTAATATAGCCAGAAAATGAGAACGACGACGGTCGTGGTGGGTCCCGCAGCCGTCCCTTCCTTAAAACAGTTGATCTGCACGACCTCTCATCACCGGGAAGATGACTCCTGAAATGAAGGGGAAAAGGGAAAGTGGAAGGAGAAAACCCACGCGTTTCTCGCGTTTCTCATCATGATTGCAGGGCAAGTGTTCGACAAAAAGCGTCAGTCAAATTCGTATCGAAGTTCCCTTCACCCTTCATCCGCCTTTTCCCGTTGCCTCCGGTCCCTGCGCCGGCAAATGCCAGCCCGGCTGTTCCCGTGTGCTCCCCCACTTCCCTTCTGTTTTCTTCCTGTTGTTTTCCTTTCACTTTGACCCACTTCAATTATTTTAAGCTTTCTTCAAAAACACACATAAAACTACGAAGATTCTGCTACAAAGTATACTTTGTTACCAGTACAATTATTCTCTGGTCGGTTTTCTGTCGTGATCTGTGTATACTTTACTTGATTATTAAAGGGTTCTCTTTTTCTAATCTTTTGTTTAGCGTTTACCACAGTTTAGTATATTTAACATGGTCCACACTGTTCCTCGTGAAGTACTGAAATGGGTATGGAAATGGAGTTATGGCTTTTGATGAACAACAAAGACAGGGATACGCACTTCGTTTTTTTCTTAGTTGTAAAGCCCCACTGGGTGCCACCGGACCCCATTTGACCCTATGTGGCTCTCTTTGTTTTGCCTTTTTTCTTATTCAAATTTAAATGTTAGTACTCATGAAGTCTTGAAGAGGTATCATTCCTTTTTTTCTTCCTTTTGAAATCTGATTTTAAGGGGGGTTTTCCTTTGGAGTAGGCGTTTACTATCATTACCCTGCAAAGTTGGGGTCTTTCCTTCACTCTGACATGGCCCCTGCAGGAAAGGTTTCTGGGTTCTACAGAGAGGGTGATGACTGGTAAGGACAGTGATTTCTTTTTTCTCTTGCTAGGGAGGTTGATTTTGGTTTAATTTCGAAACCAATTATGATTATATCATTTAGCACAAAATCTGGTGACCTCAATTGTAGTTTAAGGAAGAGAAAGGGGTTGTGTTTAGGGCTATCAGTAAAACTCAGTTCTAAATTTCTAACCGCAAGAGTAGGTATATCAATGTCATCTGAATTTTATTGGTTTGGCAGGTTCTTTAATTCGGGTTTGCCAACTGATATCACCATTGTCATAGACGGCATAACCTTTCATCTTCACAAGGTAAACCAATTTTCAGTTTTCTAAACTTTTAAGTGATTATTCCAATTAACCTTCATTGTTCATCTGTACATCTTCGGATTGGAATGAATATTTTATCTTTGCTCCATCTATATTTTTGGAGGCCTTATTTTGATGTGAATTTAGATATACAGTAAACTCAGTATAAAAGTCCTTAAATGGATTTAGAACATAATTCTATTTTTTTTATAAAGAAAATGCATGACCATGAGTTTATTAATCAAATACTTTTGGTTGCCCATCATATTCATAGATTTATGATTTAATGACTAATCTGTGATGGAAATTTAGTTACAGAGGTACATAGAAATCAATTGCTATAATCTAGTCTAGTTAGTTGTAAGTCAAGAAGGAAAGATAAGAAAAACTTGAAGGAGTGTTGTTTGATCTTTATGGAGAAGTAATGTTTTGTTGATATGATTATATATCAAAAAATATGATCAAATATGATAGTCGTCATATAAGTTGTGATAAACTTTTATTAGTTGCTGGCCTTGCAGATAGCTTAGTATAACCCCATCTTGGCAATGATTCTCTGTCCTAAGTAGTTAGCTATAATTTCTGTGCTAGCATGTATTTTTGCTGTGATATTGATGCAGTGTCAAAAGGTTGCCTTCTTCTCTTTGTATTCTACACAATTTTTGTTGTTACTAAGGTTCATATAGGGATGCCAATAATTAAAGAAGTTTGTGATTGTCACATTAAATTCGAGGAATTTTATGATTATGCATGATTGTCCAGTTTCCTCTTGTGTCAAAATGTGGGAAGATAGCACACATTTGTGAAGAACATCAAGGTGCCCATGGGAAGACTTTATCCGCATTGCTTGAAGAATTCCCTGGAGGTCCTAACACTTTTTTGATTGTAGCTAAATTCTGCTATGGTATTCGGGTGGAACTTACGCCAAGGAACATAGTAATGGTCTACTGTGCAGCAGACTATTTAGAGATGACAGATGTGTATGGAGAAGATAACTTACTTTCAAGGTCAGAGAGTTTCTTTCACAAGAATGTACTTCGCAACTGGAAGGACTGTATATTGGCTTTGCAAAGTTCTGAATCCTGTATCCCAATGGCAGGAAAGCTTCAGATATTGCACAAATGTATGAATGCTATTTCCATGATGGTATGTACAGATCCTAGTTTGTTTGGTTGGCCCATGATGATGTATGGTAGCCTGCAGAGCCCTGGTGGAAGCATCCTATGGAATGGAATAAATACAGGGGCAAGAATTAGAAGCTCAGAATCTGACTGGTGGTTTGAAGACATCTCCTATTTGAGTGTAGATTTGTTTGAAAAGCTTATCAAAACAATGGAAGTGAGAGGTATAAGACCTGAAAATCTAGCAGGTGCTATAATGTATTATGCAAGAAGGTACCTCCCAGGTCTGAGCCGATGGCAAAGCACACAAAGTAGCAAGACAAGGACAGTTGCAAGCTTCAGTTTGACTCCTGCTGCAGTAGATCAGAAGGTTTTACTGGAGAGTGTTGAAAAGCTTCTCCCAGAAAGGAAGGCCAAATCCTTCTGCCGTTTTCTGCTTGGACTTCTTCGTGTTGCATTAATATTGGGTGTTGATAAAACATGTCTGGACTCTTTGGAAAGGAGAATAGGAATGCAACTAGAACTGGCTACTCTAGATGGTCTTCTGATTCCTACTTACTCAGATTGTGATACTCTATATAACACCGATTGTGTTGAATCCGTAATCTACCATTTTACATCCTCAGAGTCAGGATTAACATCATTTTCACCACCATCATTGGACCTGGAAACATCACCATCATCTGAACGGTTAAGAAAAGTTGCTAGATTGGTTGATAGCTATCTTGCTGAGGTTGCTTCTGATGTAAATTTGAAACTGGGGAAGATACGTTCTCTTGCAGAGGCCCTTCCAGAATCTTCAAGACCTTTGCATGATGGACTATACAGAGCACTGGATATCTATTTTAAGGTTTGTATTTATTCCTTCCACTTTTTATATCCAAAAGGGATATCATTTGCAAGGTTTATAATGATTGATGCTGTTGTGCAGGCACACCCCTGCCTTTCTGAGAGAGAAAAAGAAGAACTCTGCAACATCATCGACTACCAGAAACTCTCCATTGATGCCTGTGCCCATGCTTCCCAGAATGAAAGATTGCCACTTAGAGTTGTCTTGCAGGTCTTGTTCTTTGAACAGATGCATTTGAGGTCTGCTCTAGCTGGCTGTCTCCCTGCCTTAGATGCTGAAAGTGCTCCTGCAGGTCATTTGACAGGCCCAACTGAGGTGGCAGGACAGATTGTGCAGAGAGATGGATGGGTTACCATTGTGCGTGAAAACCATGTTTTAAAGGTTGACATGGAAAAGATGAGGTCTAGAGTTGGGGAGCTTGAAGAGGAATTTAGTAAAATAAAGCAAGAAATGAAAAGGGTGTCAAAGTCCCACAGTTCACTCAGTTCCCCCTACCTATTTGCTAGGAAATTTGGAGGCAAGTTTCTTCCACGATCCTCAGATGCTCAAACCGTTCTTGTTGACAGCACAGACACCACTCCAAGAGCATCAGTTGAACAAGCACGTTCTTCCCATCATTCCAAACACCGTAAAAGCTTCTCCTTGTTTTGACAGCCAAGCCTCAGAAACTAACATCCATATTTCAACATATGAACAATGCTACTAGTTCAAAAGATTGTGTCCACACTAATGGGTTCTGGATGGAGCTTATCTTTGGCTCCATGAGTACAAAAAAGAAACAGAGCTCCTTCCTGAACCTATTAGGAAATACATCTGTCTTTCAATTAAAGAAAAAGAAGTCATATTATTCTTGTATGTAGTCCTCATTTTCAATTCATCTCCCTTCTATGGGCTTATACTCTGCACATCTTCCTAAATCAAGTTTGTTGGACAACATTGGGAAGATCTTGAAAAATCAAGTTGCCATCTAACCTTTCAAACTTTATCAGTTTTGATTCCTTTCATCAAAGGTTTATTTCCGCAGGAATATCAGGATCATATCGGGATGGCTCTCTTTGGTTTCTTAGTAATATCAAAATATTGTATATTTATTTCGATGTTCTTCAAAAATCGTCGCTTTGGCCGAGTGGTTAAGGCGTGTGCCTGCTAAGTACATGGGGTTTCCCCGCGAGAGTTCGAATCTCTCAGGCGACGAATCAACAGTTCTTTTTTTCCCTCTTTCTATTATTTTCCCGGCTCCGTGGCTTATTTAACCACAGCCGTCCAATCTGACTTACGGTCCTACCAAATTCCCAGAATATCCATTGTGATTTTGCCACGTAGTTTACCTCACTCAACTCCAGTCAGAGTCAAACTAATGAGAACCCCCTGGTGATGGAAACACCAAAACCCTCGTGTTTTGTCCCGTCGCCGAATAATCCTCTATTCAACCCCATTTCTTCTTCCGCTGCTCCTCGCCTGTCCCGGTTTTCGCTTCTCACGGCGCGGCTACAACGATGGTGCTCCAGGCACAGAGCTTTAATACGTTGATGCATCTCTCCAGCTACCCAAACGCCGGTAGCTGTCCGATGGAGACTAGAACTTTTGTTTCTGTCGGAAGCTGTAATAAAGAATCGCCGTTGAGATTGTCTGTATCGGTATCAGCATTTTCAAATCGTTCGACGATTAGGCTACGTTGCATTAAGCCGGATTCCGAGGGGAAGACTGTGTCCGGTTCGACTGAGGCGGGAGACGGTGATTTTGGGGGAGAAGCGAAGATTTTGGATATTGGAGCAGGAGATCAACCGAGGATTGGCGGGGGTGGGGGCGAGAATGGAGGCGGTGATGATGGTAGTGGTGGTGGTGGAGGGGAAGGTGGCGGCGATGATGAAAATGAGTACGAGGAGAAAGAGTTTGGACCGCTTTTGAAGTTTGAAGAGGTAATGAAAGAAGCAGAAGGAAGAGGAGTCACGCTGCCTGCAGATATGATGGAGGCAGCAAAAAGCACTGGGATCCGGGAATTGTTCCTCAGTCGTTACTTGGAGTTGCAGGTTGCTTCTTTCCTGAACATCTTTTTAGTTTTTGTTGGGTTGATGAGAAAACACAGGGAGATTTTAGTATGAGATTTAGATTGAAATTCATGATATTTCTTCACCTTTATAATTGATTTGACTTGGAAAAGAACTAAATTTACCGAAATGAGTTGACCCAATCCTAGTTTAATTATTCTTTTAGTCTGTTTCATGTTTGTAATGAACATATAGCTCTCTCACAATGGGGAGTGTTTTTTTGGTTTGATGTTTGGGATTCTTTCTTAATGTTTTGATATCTATTTTGACACTGAATTGGCATTTGGCAGGGGTCAGTTTGGCCGCTAGGCTTTTTAATGAAATACTGCTCTATGCTTCGAAACCGAATGCTGGCAGATCCTTCATTTCTTTTTAAAGTTGGAACAGAGGTTTGTTGATGGTAATTTTTATTTAAATGCAGGAGATAACTATGCATTTATGATCTCTCTCGCTCTATACACACACATATTAAGCAGTGTTATATATAGTGCTGCAGATGGAGAGACCATTACCATTAATTGTTTGCTTGACTGCTGTAGATAGGGGAAGGTCTATTTTAGTGTACTTTCGTTTGCCATTTTGGTCTGCTAATTTTTTGTTTCTCCTTCTTTGACTCAGATAGTAATTGATTCCTGTTGTGCAACCTTTGCGGAAGTACAGAAAAGGGGAAAGGATTTCTGGTCTGAGTTTGAGTTGTACCTTGCTGATCTTTTGGTTGGTGTGGTGGTTGACATTGCTTTGGTTGGTATGCTAGCACCTTATGCTCGTTTTGGGCAGCCATCTGCATCCAGAGGTTTATTTGGGCGCATACAACATGCTTGTGCTGCTCTTCCTAGCAGGTCATTAGTCATAATCCTGTTTAATAATTTTTTGTTCATGTTGAACACCTCTACTGCTCGCATTGTTTGAAGTTATGCATTGTCATTGATTTCTAACTCTATGCACGAACTCCAATTGGTGAACCAAATTCTTGTTTACCCATTACACTGGATTAAATTCTGCTGTTTTATAATCTATGCACTTATAGTTTTCTAGTCATCACCAGAGAATAAGGAGATTAGAGTGATCATCAGTTAGGGACATTTGTGTTATGTTCCTATCATGTGTTTGGTGTTATGAAAAACATAAAATAAACTGTTTTTCTTTTAGAAGCCTGGTTTACATCTTAGATGCTAGTATATAGCCTTATGCATAATTTGAAGATGAGAGCTAACAGAGAAGTTAATTTCAAGGGATGACTGTTGCCATCTAATAATAGCATTTTGTACTGTGAACTGGCTGAGACTTGAAAAGTACTCATGAAACTAACATTTATAATAAAAATCCAAGTAGTAATTACATGTTACTTTCATGAACAGACAGCCTTAGGTGGTCATAAAAGCATAACCTATTTTGCCCATGCAGTGTTTTTGAAGCTGAGAGGCCAGGATGCAGTTTCTCAGTGAAACAACGGATTGCAACATACTTTTACAAGGTATGACATGCATCGTGAATAATAACCATGACTGGAATGCCGTGGCAAGGGGTTGGTCTTTCTTCAGCTTCTGTTTTAGTTGTGATCTCTCATTGTGATTTATGGAACTTGCTATTGGTATCAATTTCTTACAGATGAGCTTCTCTACATACTAAAATATAGATTTTTAGTTGAAGCATAACCTCTTGTTATTGGTGTCCCTCTTTTATTACTTAAAGAAATAAAAGAATAAGGAGCATATTGTCTGATTTTGGTTTTCTTTTCTGGTCCAGGGTGTATTATATGGTTCAGTAGGATTCACTTGTGGTTTTATTGGGCAAGGCATTGCAAATCTGATAATGACTGCCAAAAGGTACTGAGCTATCTGGATACTTTGTTGATCATGTACAGTCTTCAGTCTAGTTTGTAAGCTGTTTTTGGCAGTTTCCCCCACTATGATTGCTCTATTAAGTGGGAAAAACAGTTTGCCTTTCCACATCCTAGTTCCTGTTAATTTTGAGTCATATCTTCATGATGAGTGGTGTACATGATTATCTCATTGATCATGAATCTTTTTCCTTTCATGTAATATAAGTGTTACAGAGTTGCTGCACTGTAAAAATTTTCTTTATTTTTCTGCTTTTATTGTTATTTGAGGTGATTGCTCACTTATATAATCTTCTATTTGACTAGGAGCATAAAGAAATCAGAGGATGACATTCCTGTTCCACCTCTTGTGCAAAGTGCTGCTCTTTGGGGTATGTCTAAACTTATAGTTTTTTAACAAACTTTTAGCTTTAACGCTGTCCTGCATAAAAAATCCTAAAGCTATGCTTGTTTGGGCATGCTTTTTTTCCTTTTTTTCCCTCTTATCTTTCATTAGTAGGAACTATATGCTTTTTGGTTGTGATTTTCTCATGATTCATTTTTAGAACTCTAGTTTTAAATTTAAAGGTGTATTTATGGAATGAAGGCTTCAAATTAATTTATAAGAACAACCTGGGCCATTACTTAAATAGAACTTGTCTATGACTCAAGAACTTTCTACTGCAATAAATTTGCTTTGATGTGTGATTATTTCTTTGGTATATCAGGTGTTTTCCTTGCGGTATCTTCCAACACTCGTTATCAAATTATTAATGGATTGGAATGCCTAGTGGAAGCGTCCCCTGTGGCAAAGAAGGTGCCTCCTGTTGCTATGGCCTTCACAGTAGGTGTGCGGTTTGCCAACAATATTTATGGTGGTATGCAGTTTGTAGATTGGGCAAAGTGGAGTGGTGTGCAATAGCATCAATAGAATTTATGCCTAGTGCTGTAGCGTCTGCTTGGCGCTGCTCCTAGAATAGTTAGATCAAATGGTGTCCCAATACCCAAAACCAGCCACAAGAGAGGATAAGAGGCTGGATTGGAAGATTCATGAAATGATTAGATGGTTGCTCTCTTTTTTTTTTTTTTGGCGTCAATGGATTCTCTCTTGAGAAGCCTCCTTTTTCCATTTGGCTTGTGTGACCTGACGTACTTCATCTCCTAGATGGCATAAAGCAAATGTGGTATTCCTCTCAAACTGGGGAAAATGTGTGGTATTCCTATAGATGGCATATAGTTTATTTTATTTAAAAGAATTGGGTCTTTTCTTAGAGTATCTCTTTTTGGTCTCTGCAACAAAGGTTGATTCAGTCTCTCTCTTGGAGAAAATGTGCGGGTAAATAAATAATTTTTTTATTTATTTAAAGATATAAATTTTTATTTAAAGATAATGAATTTTTTTTAAGTATTTATTGGATGGTGATAATAATGTTACAAAGATAATTTTAATTGAAATATGAAAATCACTTAATTTAAAAACTTAAAGAATTTTTATTTTTCAATTAAACAATAAGAAATTTTGTATCTTTATTTGAACCTTTTCCCTTTCTCTTAAAAACTGTGACCGTATCAATCAATTTGAAATTCATACCTGGGGTCTTATGAAGGATTGAAATGTTTATTTTACTTTTTTTTATATGCATATTTTATTTGACCTTGATGATAATTGTCTGAGTTAGAGTGTTTATTGCATTTCATTATTTTTAATTTTTAATTTTTGGGTTAGACAGCTAAAATTGTCTCTAACCTGCATCTTCAATCTAAATAGTTTTGTATTAATATGATTTGCATTTTTAAAATTATTCAAAAAAAAGTAATTAATTTAACTTCAGGACAATACTATAGGAACAATTTTTTAAAATAATTTTTTATACAATCTTTTGATACAATTTTCACATGTCATTAAATAAGTAAATGCATTTAGTATCATAAGTCCGAAATGAATAAAAAAAATTAATAATTTAAATAACATGTATAATTATATCAAAATATGATATAAAAATGTTATCTCAAAATCATTTTCCTTTAATTTCAACATCAAAAGGAAAATGATTAGTTTTAGTGTTCTCAAAATGAATTTAAGGACATTTACAAATTGAAAAAAATTGAATGAAAATAGTTATAATGATATATAATATTATAAATTATAATGATACATAATATTATAAATTTATAATATGATATATTATTATATAATTAATTTTTTATTTAAAAATTTACTTATAATATTATGTAGGTTAAAACCTCATTTTAGTCCCTGAACTATTGTTTGGACTCTCAATTTGATTCATAAACTAAAAAAATCCTTGATTTGGTCTATACTGTTTACCATTTTGACCATGATTTGGTTCTTCCGTTAATTATCCACCGTTAACTCATAGTGAGTTAATGACATGGCAAAAATTTTAGACATGTCAGATCAAAATGATGAAATGACAACATAACAGATTATATTCATGCCATGTAACCCACCAAAATTATAATTTTACCCTCATCTTCTTCTTCCAGCATCCTCTTTTTTGGATTTTCTTCATTCATCCTTCTTTTTCCCTCTCTTTGCCTCCTCCAAGACAACTTTTATCACCATTTTTTTGAATCAAACAATTAATTCAATGAAATGGAATTCCATTCTTTATTAATCAATTCTTTTTCATCATCAAACAACAAAACCCACGAAAAAAAAAAAAAAACAAAAATGTTTTTTGAACCTAGCATTGGGTTCGTTTGAACCCAGCGCCAGGGTTCCAGGGAACCCCATGCCTAGGTTCGAACAAACAAACCCAACGCCAGGGTTCCAACGAACCCCACGCCTGGGTTCCAACAAACCTAGTGGCGGTTGCTTGGTTCGATGGGTTCTAAGGAGGAAGGGTAAAGAGAAAGGGAAAGAGAAGGAAAAAGAAAAAAAAAAAAAGAATTTTTTTTTAAGTTTTATTATTTTTATATTATTATTATTTTTGCCATGTGTATTAATATTTTACCACGTTATCTTATAACAGTGAATTAACAGCACACATAATGAGATTTTTATCGAAAGGACCAAATTAGGTCAAAATGGTAAACAGTAGGGACTAAATCAGAGATTTTTTTAGTTTAAGAATCAAATTGAAGATCCGTATAGTAGTTCAGAAACCAAAATAAAATTTTAACCAATTATGTATTTATAAATTTAATAATATATTATATTTAATATAATATTATCAAAATTTAAATTTAAATGACAAACTGAGTAAAAGTTAAAGTACAGTATCAAACTCGACCAAGATATTATA